TCGGTGAGTACGTTGCAGCTCTACGTAGTTTTCTAGAAAATTCTGAGTTCAAGTGTACTTGCGGGAAATCAATTGCTGACATGTTCCTTCGTGTCCAGTTCATTCGTGGGATCAAAAGTTCCTTTATTAGGGAGAGATTCTTGTGTGAATCAGAGTTAACATTCGAGAAAGCAGTCAACATGGCTCTTTCGCTTGAGTCATCGAAGCTTGATAACTAAGAGATCCTGAACGGCTCAGCATCAACAACTGGTGTCACTAGTGTTTGCAAAATCCATAGCTCAAAGCCATCTTCTAGTCACAATTCAAGGTATAGAAATAGAAATAAGAGCGAACAGCGCTATCAACGTAGTGACAGCAGGCACTCCAAGAGAGGCAAATCTGCTAAGCGTAGAATAGATTATGAAAAACTGGGTATTTCTGATCTCTGCATTAGATGTGGGCGCAATAATCATAGAGCTTTTGATTGTAAAGTTAATCTAAGGAGTCTCAAATGCTTCTCCTGTTCTAAAACTGGCCATATCAGCAAAGTGTGCATTTCAACGTTATTAACTCAACAGAATAAGTCCCATAAGGTTAACACTGTCAATGATGAATATCCTGATATAAATGACATCGTTGACTTTAGTTCAAATCCAGATTGTTTTCTCTCGTCTAGTGATCCTTTTTGTAGCGAAGATGATGATACAGGAAAATATATCGCGTCAGTTGATATCAACGGTTTTGAAACCCAGTTCGAAGTAGACTCCGGTTGTGGTTATACGCTACTCCCTGAAAATCAATTTTTGAAACTCGATCCCAGAATTAAACTGTTTCCTGCCCGTCAAAACTTCAAGTCTTATGACCATGGCATAATTAAACCTATTGGATATGCCAAAGCAGCTGTCACATTCAACAATATTACTGCATATGTTCCATTTTATGTAGTACCATCGAAATTTTCAGCCATTTAAGGTAGATCTTAGATCAGACGTTTCCAGATTAACCTAAATGAGTTAAGCACTCAAAAACCCAGTTCCAAGGAAGACTTTTCTTCCATTCATCGAATAGGTAACGGTTCAAGATATCCAACAGCAATTTCCAGATATTTGCGTACAAAAGGTTGGAAAAATTCCAGACTTGAAATGCTCCTTGCCTTCGAAATCTAACGCTAAACCTAAGTTTCAGAAACCCCGTGATCCACCCTACGCCTTCAAGAAACCAGTCGACAATGAGCTTGACGACCTTGAGCGAGACGACATCATCACCCGGATCGACACCAGCGATTGGGGCTCACCTCTAGTTCCAGTCCCCAAGACAGTGGGAAAAGTGAGATTATGCGTCGACTACAAGTCAGGAGTCAACCCTCAACTAGAAGACTATCACTACCCGATTCCTCGCATCGAAGAACTCATAAGCGAACTCAAAGAATCTTCAGTTTATTGCAAGATCGATCTATACAAAGCGTACCTACACGTTGAAATGGATGATGAAGCAAAGAAAATTCAAGCCATCTCTACGCATAGAGGCACTTATCTCATGAACAGGCTCAGCTTGGGAATCAAAACAGAACCCAGCCAATTCCACCAGATCCTTGGTCGTCTACTCGCTGGACTTTCAGGTATTATTTGGTATTTCGATGATATTATAGTGCATGGGAAAAATTATGATGAGTGTTATAAAAATTTAATTGCATTGTTGAAGCGTTTGCAGGAGAAAAATTTGCATATCAATTTGTCAAAATGTCATTTCTTTAAAGATAAAATTGCTTACCTCAGTTGCATCATTCAAGGAAGAAATGTGTATAAAGACCCAAGGAAAATCTCTGATCTTTTGCAAACAGTGAGACCGCAGAACCGCCGCCGTGACGTGATGCAATTCTTAGGACTAGTCACATATTACTCACGTTTTGTCCCCAATGCATCTACCTTAACAGCCCCGCTCCGTCAATTACTTTCAAAAAACCGTCCATTCAAATGGTCCGATGCCTGTGAAAAAGCCTTTCTAAAACTTAAAGAAATCATAGCCAGTGATCATGTGCTAGTCTCTTATGATGTGAATCTACCGACCACAGTGGCCTGTGATGCAAGCCCTACAGGGCACGGTGGAGCGAAGCATAGGAATGGCCGGTCATCGCCTTGCTCCCCAACTTGTTTCGACTATTCCACTCGTTCCAAGGGGCATTTCGTGATGAAACTTGGGCATCTGATCGTATTTCGATCGCAGAATTCATTTTTGACCTTACTTTACTTGATTTATTGACGGAAATACATAATTTTGGGGGTTCTTTCTAACTTTCAGTAGAAACGTGAAAAGATAAGTTACTCAAAGATAAATTTTACTCGTTCCTGTGGGCATATCGTGTTGAATTTTCACAGGTTTGTGGCATTTTGATCGTAGAAATCATTTCTGACCTTACTTTTCTTGATATTTTAACGCTCTTGCACGATTTTAGGGGGTTTTCAAACTTTCGGTGGAAACATAAAAAGATAAGTTGCTCAAAGATAAATTTTACTCATTCTTGTCGGAATTTCGTGTTGAAACTTGGTGCAATCATGGTATTTTCAACGTAGAATTCATTTTTGACTTTAGAATTGCTTGTATGTCGACGTAATTACACTGCTTTGGTTTTTTTTAAACTTCTGGTAGAAAAGAAAAGTTACTCGAAGATAGAATTAACTCGTTCTGGTAAAAAATACGTGTTGAATCGTTGATGCACGATCATATTTTCATCTTAGAACCAATTTTTGAGCTTACTTTTGTTATTTTTTTCACATGCATACATGCTTTAGAAGGATTTTATTCAAAAATCGATCGGAATGCACAAAGAAAATTTACGCAGAGATTTTATCTGTTCCGATTGACATTTCATGTTGCAACTATTGATTTCATGTGATATTTTCATCGAGGAATACAAATTTGATGTGATTTATGTTTCAATTGCTCGATCGAAAGACAAAATGAAGCTATTTTTATCGATAGTATATGATCTCTCAATGTAACGAATGCTCATATTTCTATATCCATTATGAAAAAAATATCATATAACCGTTACCTTATTCTGAGACCAATGAAAAATTCCAGTTTTATATTATTCCAAGAAACAATTTCGAACCTATGATTTAAAATATTTAGAGAAAGATATCAATGTACAAGGGTTTTTTTTTTCGTTTTGTTTTTGTTTTGCTTAAGTCTTTATATACAAATTTAAGTTTATACATAGCCATTGCAGGGCACAAAACCTATGAACGAAACTTAAAATTAAACGATCAACATTGTCAACGAGATTAAATTGCATGGTAAATCGGTCCATCTCATATCACGAATCACGATATCTCAGAATCAGTCGGGACACTTGTAACGCTTCGTATAGGTTTTTATCTATACCACGCCTGAAGCGCCAAGCGCTTCGGGAGGTTAGGCTGCGAAGTGGTCAGGGGGTGTAACCCTTACTATGATGAATAATTAATTCAAAGGTATTGATAGAACATTCAACATTTTTGTTTTCTCCTTAAAATGCCAAACAATCATATAAGATAAAAACAAAAACAGCTCTGTTCCCCCGCCTCGATCGCGAGTTCCCGAACCTCTCAAATGATGAATTTTGCTCCAAAAATTGGCAAAAGTAAGGTCAAAATTGAATTCTACGATGAAAATACTGTACGTTTATCAAGTTTTAAAATGAAAATCCGACTAAGTGTATTAAGACGCCAAGAAAATCCAGCAAGAAGTAGAGAAACAGCGAATTCCGTCCTCACTTTTTCGGACAAAAATCGATGTAACTCTCAAAGTGGCAGCTGATGGCAGCCAAATACGACGGATTCCTCATCCTGAGGGATCACTGGAACACGCCTTATGCATGATTGGACGGCGAAATGCGGCGAAATTTTTATAAGACTATTCAAACTTTTATTTTCTTATTTTCGGAGGGGTCATCTTTGATCAGACATTACAACGTATAGAATTGAGTAAATTTTACTTTTTAATAGTGAAATATGTTCTTTATGCACTCTAGAATAAGATCCAAGCATTCATATTTGTGTCAATTGTTGCCACTCGAAGAGGCAGGTACGGAAACTGACCTTAGAAAACAGAGCGAAATTGGCCGCTACAGAAAATGTCAACTTCGGGAGTCCAGGGGGCAAAAGCATTTGACAAAATCATCAAACCAACATTAGATTCATATAATATGGATCCTTAGGAACACATTCCATCACATCTTTATGCAAAACATGAGAACACCCCATGTCCGAGGTTTTACCCATTTCGTCCCACTGTGCAGGGTTAGGAGCTGTAATTTCTCACATCATTGATGGATCAGATAGACCAATCATGTTCGCTTCTAGATCTTTAACTCCGGCTGAGAAAAATTACAGTCAATTAGACAGAGAAGCTCTTTCGATTGTATTTGCTTTAGATAAGTATTATATGTACATTTATGGTCGCAAATTTACCCTGATAACAGACAACAAGCCGCTGTCCAGAATCCTACATCAGAACAAGAAACTACCTCCGATGACAGCAGCAAGGCTGTTACGTTATGCAGCCTATCTCTCCTCATTTGACTATGAGGTAAAGCATCGGCTCAGTAAAGCTCATGCAAATGTTGACTACCTTTCACGATTCCCTGTTTCAGGCCGCAATTTACAGGGAAATCAACCACTTCTGGATTTCGAACTCTCAGCTTGTCATGAAAATACGCTAAATCAAATTTCCAGTGCCAATGTCACAAGTTACGACATCGCAGAGGCAGCAGAATCGGATCCAGAGCTCGTTGATATTATCTCCAAGCTTCGCAGCAGCAGCGAATACCCCGCCTGTATGGAGTACGTATCAGAAGGCAATATTGTTTACAGAGGTAACAGAGTCTATATCCCTCAGTCATTAAGAGGCCAAATACTCAAAGAATTGCATGAAACTCGCATTCAGGAATCACAAAGACAAAGCAACTCGCTAGAGGATATGTCTACTGGCCTTCAATTGATTCTGATATTGAAAAATTAATCAAATCATGTGAGCAGTGCATGCTATCTCAGAAGTCTCCTAAGAAAGTTCCTACCCGTAAATGGGAAGAGCCGACTCAAAACTTCTCCAGAGTACATATGGACTATGCAGGTCCAAGGAAAGGATTCAATTTTCTCATTCTTGTCGATGCCAAGTCTAAGTGGCCAGAAATCCGCATTCTTAGCAAAGCTCCTACTACAGATTCTACTATCAAATTATTAGAAGACATATTCTCTTTCCATGGCTACCCTCAAACTTTAGTTTCAGATAATGCTTCAATTTTCTCCGCCGACAACGCAGAATTTAACAATTATTGCAAAACAAAAGGAATTTTCCATTGTTTTACTGCCCCTGGGAAGCCGGCCACAAATGGCTTAGCAGAGCGTTATGTTCAAATATTAAAATCCAAATTATCAAAAATGGAAGCAGAACCTGGTGACATTCAAGAAAAAGTGCGTCAAATTGTCCTGCGATTCAGAGCTACACCGTTATTGGATGGATCTAGCCCTGCAGAACGCTACCTAGGGCATAGAATCAAACTTCGCTTGGATGCCATTCACCCATTCAAACCGCTCAAAAATTCGTCGTGTCAAGCCACCCAGCTCCGTTCCTTCCAAATTGGTGACAAAATAATTGCTCGTGTGTACAGAAGCAACAAACCTTCATGGAAACCTGGCCTCGTCCGGAAAAAATTGGTAAAATCCACTATCTAGTAGAATTAAGCAACGGGTATACACTGAAGCGACAAATCGACCAACTGCGAGATGCAAGTTTTCTTGACTTCAAGACCCCGGAGCATCAACAGAGTAAGCCAAAAAAGCAGGTTTCGTTTCAAGTGCAAATGCCAACTCCAAGGGACATTCCAGATCTCCATGTAGTGCCATCTGGAAGACAGGTTGTCATACCTGTAGCGAAGCCTACATCGCCTGGCTCACCTTCAGCTAGTCGGAAGCCGCCTACTGTTCAGGGTTCAAGCAGTCACCTTGTAAGGCAACCATTGCCTCTTACCAGCCATGGTAGCCTGCCAAGCCCGGTCTCTCTGCCGTCAACTAG